CCCCCCCCCCCCCCCCCCCCCCCACACACACACACACACACACACACACACAAAATCCGTCTATGTTGTGTTTGACATTGTTTGAAAATTTTCATCCAGTGATTCAATCAGTTTCTGGATTTCTAAATAGAACAGCTCGGAACTAATTGGATAATCTAGTATTACTATTCTGGCCATTCTTGTAAGGCGATAAAGAATCTACGATTCTTAAATAATTTATCGACATGTCTGTCTTATCACCTTTATTGCCCAGTTACAAAGTACCATGATCTGTGATTTTCAAACCTAAAAAAATCAATGTAAATTTAAAATTTTTATGTTCAGGTGGATCTCATGCCAGTGGTATCAATACACTGAGTCAAGGACAAGAAGGGGTATGTAGGACTATAATATAGAAATTGAAAAATATTTAGTTGTATTTTAAAAACTTACATCGAATTTGATCTATTCCGACAGGGAGGGAATACATCATTTAAATTGCTCGAGGCTCTACAATTTATTCTGGTAAGTGTCCTCATTCCATATTTTTTTTATATTTATCTGATAATAGTGACCGTCCTCTTACAGTACTCCGTGAATAAAATTACTTTTAAAAGCCAGGGAAGGGTCCAGACAGATCTTGTAGAGAAGGGGGGGGGGGGGCTCCTCGACATTATTGGTCAATTACTAGAAATTGGTGTTCAGGGTCCGATGGTAGGATTTTGCCTTTCGCCATTAAATCCATCCCTATATATTAAGGCGTGACCATGCAACCTCCGTCACCAGACTTTCCAGAGGTGAATTTACTGGTTTCTTTAAGGTAATTCCGCAGTTTTGCATTGCGCACTTTTACTGCGCACATCTTATAACTTATAATTTCATACATTATACGTACCGTTTAAAAAATATAATTTTATGTTCAAAACATCTTTGGTTACATTCGTGCAAAGAATTACGTTAAAATAAATGTTTTCAAAAAAGGCATACAAAAGTGTAGCTAGGGTTCCCTGTGTCTGTAGTATATTTATTTACTTGTATTTCACGTTTTAATGCCACAATTCCCTGAAAAGATCGGTGTCCCCCGTTTTTTAACTGATAATTTATTTCTTTAATGCATTTTACATTTCATATCCGAAATTAAAAGAAAAATCATTTCTGGATCTTGAAAAAAATCCGTTTCTTGAAAAAAAAAGTAGTTCCATTTTGCTCAAAACACAATATTTTTTCAAAAATAATAACAAGATAGGTTTACTAAAGCAAAATCCGCGCTAAAAACGTCAATAAATATCGGGCGGTTGTGATTTTGCCGTTACTCGTAATGAGCGTCAAGATGACGCCATATTGGGGTAAAGGTGGTATATTGTGATTGTCATATCTTCTTAACGAGTTCGGTGACCCCGACTTTTTTGTGTGATTTTACTTTAAGTATATCATATACTCCATGCCTGGGAAGTTTCAGCACATTCTCATTTCGGGAACAATTACTGCGGAATTACCTTAAAGCGTTTCTTGTGGCCATGGCCAATGGGCTCATTTTCCATTTCAAACAAAGATTTTTGCACCTTGGGGGACCAACCTTGTATCAATTTTTCTGACAAGATGAGCTTTGCTATTTAACCCTGTCGTGGCTGTTTGCCAACACTGCACTTGAACTTGCACCAGCTCAACTACGCGGCAACAGTAATTGTAGTACCAGTGAGATAAAACTAAAAACCTATCTCACCCTGAACATGTATTGTGTAATTGTGTATTGTTATATAGTTAGTGTCAAAGTTCAATTTTTCTGTTCGCCGATTGGTCAAAACCGAGTCACGTGCCGGTCCACAAAACGTCATGTTCGGCAACCGGTCCGCAATCAAACATTTATTGATCGGTCAATAATAAAATGGGTGCAATACGCATGCGTGTCAACCATGAAGTTCCAAAGTTCATTTTCAAAAATGTTTACTAAACATTTACGGTATTCCATTTATCCAGTTTTGGTTTCAAATTAAGTTCACTCCAATAACCGGTGAATTATTCACACTTTGACACCTATATACTATATAACAAAACACTTGTTTACTGAGACCTCGGGAAAGCAGTGTGTTTTGTGGCCCTTCGACCGCCGTTGTTGCCCTCGGCTTTGCCTCGGGCAACAACGGCGGTCTCGGGTCCACAAAACACACTGTTTCCCTCGTTCTCAGTAAATAAGTGATAAATATCAATGTTTGCTTGTTATTGCAGGTTCAGTTTTCACGGCAAGAAACTTCGCTAGAAACGTAAGTAAACCTTTTGTGAAAGGTTACTGCCATTTGCGAGCAACTGTAAACGTTTTTCCGTGTTTGTTGACGTTTCAAACGTGCACGTTTGGTGCAGTGAGCTACATATACGTCTGGAGTGAGAATTCGCGTCCAAAGAGTGAAGTGAAACATGGCGGAAATTAACGTCCCGTACCAGTGGCCTTCTATTGCAGATATAATAATATAGTCAATTCTGATTGGCTAAGAGCAGTGCAATTTTTTGGAAATACAATAAACGATTCCTTTAACTACGGACAACTGGCTACTTTCTCAGCACAACCGCTTACTTGAAATGATTCTGAATGCCCTGTATACTAGCTGTGTACTCGTTCGGATTTCGGAACAAAAATCTACATATCGGATTGATAAAGTTGTTTCGTAGTCGAATCGGATCGGACTTCGATATTCGAAATAAAATGAATTAATTATCCACGCATTATTGCAAGAATTAATTATCCATGCATTTATAAAAAAAGCATTATCGCGGTTATCGCTGCATTTTTCGTTTGATACTTCAATTGCGCGCCACTTTGTCAGCTTCTTGACATGTATTTCTTGTTTTTATATTCATTTGGTTAAACATTTCAACTTGAATGAGAAAATTATTTTGTTAAAGGATTCTTCGGATAATAATAATAATAATAATAATAATAATAATAATAATAAAACTTTATTTAAAGAGGGAATACATTGTTTACTTAGTACAGTATTCTTCCCAATGGCCCTCGATGTCTGATAGTAATATATAAAAAGAAAATCCTATTGAGAGTAACATTGACAATGAGTAATATGCTTACAATCGATGCAGCGGAATTTATTAACGTGATCTACTTCATAATTCAATTGAATAAAGTAGGTTTTGAGCTTCTTTTTATAGGAATAAATTGAGTGATTTTCAATATCTTTTAATTCGGAAGGTAAAGAATTGAATAGGCTTGCACCACTGTAGGAAATTTTGGATTGATTGATTGATTGATTGATAACTTTATTAAAGTGTCATGTCTTATAGCCAAGTGTCATGTCTTATTAGCTTGCGTAGTCTTAACTGATGGAACTTTTAAGTCTGTAATAGACGATCGGATCGGATTGGAATTCTTTATCACAACTCGGATCGGATTCGGATTAGACAATTTCGGATCGGATCGGATTTTAAACATTAGCTAATTGTCGGATTATAAACGTCCGATCCGATGCACACCTCTACTGTGTACCACTAATCTCAAAACGCGTTGCAAGCTGATACAAAAATGTTGATATCCCCCTTTAGGTTACGAATGCAACTTCAGACAGCGACGGAAGACATAAGGAGAATTCGCTCAGTGAAAATTGAAAACGACAAGAAAAATGTGCACATGAAGGAGGAACACCAAACTGAACTAACTCGACAAAAGAAAGCGTACAGTGATTTAGAAAGAACATTTAATACGCAGGTTTCGGAGTTGAAACTCCAGTTGTCATCCCAACAAGAAAACTACGAAACGTTGCTGCAGAATTTCTCGGAGTTAAGACGTGCCTTGACTAATAAATAAACTTACTCCGTGGATGTTTTTCTAACAGGTATGGGATTGATTATGAAAATCCAAAGCTACACCGATATCTTTTTTTGTCAATTGCATGGTACACACGTAAAAACGCACAAGTTGTAATAGATCTGCAATCAAGTTGTAACAAGGTTGTTGCCAAGCTGCATGATATCAAATACAAAATGACTGAAAAACGGCAAACTTCGCAGGGTTATATTATCCGCATTTTACAACATTTCGCAACGAAACTTCGGAATATTACTAATTTTGTGATGCTCTTTCAAGCCGTGATAAAATTTTTATCTAGACTTGCCTAGATCAAAATTTTGTTCATAGGTAATAGGCCCATTAACGCACGATAACTGTCAAAGTACACCCTGTATAATGAAAAGAATTATATCTTCTCCACTGCCAATCGTGCCGGCTAACAATAGACCTGATGTATATAATGACGTCACAAGGCTTGATGCCCGCGAGAAATGCTTGTCTTAGTAGTCATCGCCCTAGAAAATTTCGATAGTGGCCATTTTGAATTGTTCAGTAGAGATGCTGTGAAGTCCGTACTGCGCATCAGTTCTGCTCATAACAAAGAGGACCCGCAGATATAAACATTGCCCAAAGTTTGCATCTTTCGAGAGTTTATATTCATTTACAAGCGTAGCGAACCAGGAAAGTGCTAGATATTCAATTAGTATATCATATTTTACAAATATAGCAGTTCAAAATGTAAACAAAGCGTTTGTTTACATTACGGACTTTACAGCATCTTTAATTTTCCCGGGCGTTAACTACTAAGACCGGCATTCGTCGCGGGCATCAAGCCTAGTGACGTCATTATGCATAAGGTCTATTGCTGTTGCTGCTATGACTACAAGTATTTTCATGAATAACTCTTTATAAATTTCACAGATCCTCAAGTATTGAATGAGAAGCATATATCCACACGACGCCCAGCGTCAAGTGTACATAATATGGTGTGAACGAAGGCTCCTGTGGAACAAATTTTATTAGATAATTATTTTCATCAAAGAAATGTAGACTATAGAATGTATTTTAAATCACTAGACTAACTTTATTCATATGGCACAACCCGACTCCGTAATGTCCTCCATGTTTTTATTGCGATAACTCACATGCCTAGTTAATTCTGTCCCAGTTTACGGTGCGTAATATAGAACAAAGGTAGTTAGGCCAGTTAGAATTTTCTGCGTGATTACATTAGCCCGGATTTTGGTGGGGAAAGTGAGCAAATTTAGGGGATGTGCAGCGGTTTGTTATGACATTCCCCATGGAATGTTAGGACTTATAGCGTACCTCCCCCCCCCCCGCGCTAAAGTCAATAGCCTGCGAACAGGCTCTTTGAACCTGCTCGCAGGCTATAAGGTCAACACGTGATGTATGCATGAAAATACATATGTATTGGTGCAATTACGACTGTACGACTCATCCAGTTTTCCCCTTCATTACATTACCAGAAAGTTTCTGTCGAGACATTGCATTGAAAGGGACTTGACACAGAGATGAATGGCTATCACTGTTTCAATTTCACAAGAAAACGTTCTTAGAAAGTGTTGATCTAGCCTCCTCCGCAGGCCTCTCTATGGGTTCTAGCCTGCGAATGGGTTTTGAAAAAAAAATTTCAAAACTTTTTCCCACCACCCGATTCGTCGGGGGTGAGATGCCTGCGGAGGAGGCTAGTGTTGATCCTGAGCAGCACAATAGTTTGTCAAAATTTCACTTTGATCTATCATTTAACCTTTCCCAAGGGACCTCGCATTACATTTCATTCAGTTGAGGTGTTAAATAATGTTTCGGCATCCATGCAAAAGGCAATATTAATTTTTAGTTACAATCGTTCATTGTACGCATTTGTAAACTATAACAACGGGAACTGGACATGTGAGTTATGTAAACTCGTGAATTTGATAGCAACGATGTAAAAGGGCGTGAGCTCAAACAGTAATCAAAAACAAGATTTCAGTAAATCCAATGAAGATTGTCGAACTATATTTCAAATTGACATACACGTTGCTAGAAAGTTTGCCATGGAATTTTAACCATGGTTTAAAGCTCGTTTTCGTCACGGGTATCCCACTGTAATGTGGCGTATCGCTTTGATTTCTGGGGTTGAACTAATGACATGGAGGGTTATCGGAGGGAAATATGCCAGTATCATCGCCATTGTGGCTGTGAATACATAAACACAATCATCATAAACACAATCATATATCATAGGACAATGTCAAATGACGAACGATTTTGTAAAGAGAAATTCAGAAACACAGCTGTAGATATTTGTGTTCTTTTCAATGATTTCAACGTTTTTAATTGTATAATGCATACGTGCGTTTAAAAGGAAATCCATAGACCGAATCGAAAAATAGTTGTCATTCTTTTTTCTTCTGAAATTAATTTCAACCGAGGTAATCAATGTTGCCTTCCAGCGCCCTGCTATATCGAACCAGTGACCTCCATAGTCCATATATATCTGGAGCGAGGACTTGAATCCCAAAAGTGAAGCCAACTCATTAGCTTCGTGTTAACCCCATAGGTATCTTATATACACTAGATAGTGCATCTAATTATTCTGCAATTCAAAAATTGAAGCCGTGATTGCAGACTCAGGATATTCCCATGAAATGAGAAGACTCGTATGTTTTCTACTTCTTAAACAGGGAACTTAAACATTAAGTTAAACCTATTCCAAATACATTTTCAAACTATCCAAATGATGAAAGTTATTGTTGTTTTTTAAGCGTTTATTTATAGCGAGTGGGAACTACCAACATGGCCGCCATCTATTCAAATGGGGGTAACCGCTGGAATATTATTGGCTCACCTATGCAATTTTACTAAAAGAGATGCGTTATCTAGTGTATATAAGATATCTATGGTTAACACCACGTAACCCTGGCCCTGGGTTGCTTGGCTTTAAAAAAGTCGGTGTTTTTTCGCCTGCAACCAAATTCTGCCCGCCAATCCGAAGGCGATGCTGCGGGGGAGACTAAACCCACCCCAGACTCCTCAAATTTGTGCGCGGAAAATTGAAACAAAAATACAAAATGGAGATTTTGTATTAAAAAATTTAAAAAGTTTACTTTCCAATCTTTAATTCATTTTTCCTGGAACCTTAACGCAACAAATATACTCCACATCTACAAAAGAAAACGTTGTTGATGCAAAGACAACATTTTTGCCGACGGCAAGTAAACCACAAACAAGCAAATACCAATTTTATGTATGAACTTTGTAGCGGTCGCTTGGTTACCGAGCACTTTAAACACTGTTTTTGATGATATATTGTTCATGATTTTATAACTGCTCTGCGCGAATGTAACAGCTGGATTAAGAATCTTGAAAGATGAATTCTTGGTTGCTTTAATATGGAGAAATGCCATGACAAAGGCTTTTATAGACCACTTACTTGGCTTGATTATTCCTTGTTTCGTTTTATTCTGAGAACATGAAAGTGAAGTCAGTTAATGAATTGGCGAACAATTCGTTTTGATATCATATTTTTAAGACAAGAACAGTTTTTAGCAAGTTTCAAAATTTTAGCAGTTCGGATCATTTTAATTAATTGTATATAGAATTTAATCTCTGTATTTTATATCAATATTGATGTGCTGCTCTGAGTCGAAAGCAAACCGAATCAATGTTGAATCTGCAAACGATAACGTGGAAGTCCGCAAAGGACGGCATCTGAGAATTATCTATCGAAATCCAGACGCATTTCCTGGCTCGAACCATGTTCTTGGAAACGCAATTCATTCTTCTGTAGTGCGTGTGAACTCTTGGTTGGGAAATGGAATTGAGAATAAAGTTGCTGTATCAACCGAGGATCATTCTTCAAATGAAAGGACAAACAAAATTGTGATATTTTTTATCCATGGGGTAGGGGGATGTTCTGATATTTGGAACGAACAGATGGAGTATTTTTCAAAGTTGGGGTATGTTGTGGTTGCCCCAGATATTCTAGGGCACGGAGGAAGTGCCGCACCAAGGGATGAGTCTAGCTATACATTCTCTGAATTGGCATATGATATGTTTGCTGTGTTTGATCGGTATCGAAGTGAGAAGAAGAATATTTTAGTTGGCCATTCTTATGGGTGAGTTTGTCTTTCTTCATATTTTTTGTATATATTATAGGTAATAGTATGATGATTGTGATGTTACTCTGAGTAACATCAGAGTAACATCACAATCATATTCACCTGAGTACATTACACCAACACAGAAAAAAAAAATGATTAAGTACTAGATTACATTGATATCGAAGGTACTAGATTCTGTTCCGAAATATCACATACTCGAACCGACCAGACTGGGTAGCTCAGTTGGCAGAGCATTAGGCTAGTATTCCAAAGGTCGTAAGTTCGATTCCCACTGTGGACAGGCATATTTTTCAAGCTTGCCTGGTGTGGATATATACTTAGAGTAACATCGCAATCATCATATTTACCTGAGTACATTACACCAACACAGGAAAGAAAAAATCGTGTAATAGTATGTTTTGAGTGCAATTACAAATCAGACGATAGATGAGTGCAATTTGGAGTGTTTGAAACTGAGTTCATTTTTGATATATCAGAACATTAGAATACAGATTTTCTTTTTCTGCTTTGAGGGATCATCATCTTACGCAAATAATCAGGCAGGTTTTTTAAAGATAATCAAAATTGGGTCGTTCCAGAAAAGATCCATACCCCCCCTACGGAGGAAATCGAAAATAACCCCCTCCCCCCCTTCGGACATCCTTGAATGGTTCATCCTCCCCCCCTCTCTGGACATCAAAGCCCAAAATTACCCCCCTCCCCTTCGGACATCCACTATTTCTAAATTTTTCTAAAGGCTAGCTTGCCATTTGAAAACGTCACCGAAAATTAGACTACGTTCACACTACGCGCAAGCGAACTAATGCGGGCAGAATTTACGTGTGTTCAGACTAAGCCATTACAGTTTGTTTACAAATTGAATATATTAGCACTCGTGTAAACCCAAAATATTTCAAATAGACCCAAGAAATTTAACTGAAAAGCATTCGAGTTTACACGTTTGTGTTCACACGAAGCTATTAAGCGCTCCGCCGTTTTACCTCGCTCCGTTTAGAAACCGTGCTCAAATTGTTACGGCAAAAGTGACGTGAAAGTTTTCAAACGATTTCGCTCCAGCGTAGAGTGAATTAGCGATGGCTTATTGTGACTTTTCGACGCTGTTTTCAAATAGCTCCGGCGTGGCGGAACACTTGGCGGCTTCTTGTGACTTGCGAACACAAACACGTGGCAGGTTTTGTCGGATAATTTGCAGAAATTCACTTCGAAATTCGTTCAAGTAAAATTCGGACTGAAATTTGATGTAACTTGCGACTGATTGACAAGCGTTGCTGTGTTTACTTACATGTTAATGCATTTTTTAGTATTACTGCATTCCTTTAATATGAAAGCCATTTCTATTTTCTAGACACGCACCTCGCAAGGAAGCTTTATTGACTATATACTAAAACAAATTGTTTTGAGTTCAGTTCACATAGCAATCTCTTAATTCGAGCAACAGTTTAATAACTATTATTTTTACAGTAACACTTGAATAATTCAAACTTATATATACGAAAACTGCAAATTATATAAATAAAGCGTCAATTTTCGACTCATTCTCAACATGCAGGATAGAGGTCGGGAATCTTCGAGTTAAGCCCTTCGAGTTAAACCCCTCGAGTTAAGCCCTTTTCGAGTTAAGCCCCGACCACGCCCTGTTTTGCCAAGACCACGCCCTTTTTCAAAAAGGGCTTAACTCGAAGAACGAAACACAATTTGGGTCATTCGAGTTAAGCCCCGGGGCTTAACTCGAAGTTTGACAAAAAAGTTGTTGCTCGAGTTAAGCCCCGACTTTTGAAGTATGTCAACGAGTGCAATATTAAATTGTTAAATTTTCAATACAAAAAAGCCAAAGGCAAAACACAGAAATTTTCCCAAAAAGAACTTGTATATCACTAATGTAATACGATTATCTAAAACAATCACAACTATTATCGTTAACAATATTTTAAGTTTTTCATATTAAAATTAATATTAAATTTAACAACACTCAACAGGTAATTACTTTTAGTTGATCATTTATCCACAACAAAACAACATAACAATATTTTAATTATAAAGTAAATAGAATCCTAACTCGTTCCTTTTGTTTGAATATGCACAATATCGACAAATTAACAGTTTTACTGTAACAAAAAAGGTACAACCTTTCCCATCACCTAGAACAAAACTAATCTATTAAGAAAATGATCGAAAATGACAGCACGTAATAACTAAAGAAAAAGAGAGGAAAGGGAAGGAATTTCGGTATAGAATGATCTGTCTTTGACAACTTGCGCCCAGAGACTCACGCCTCATACGCACATGTACAGTAATTTTATTAGCCAAATCAAGAATGGTTATGAATCATGAATGGTTTCATTTGTGTACAAATTATCACGGGGAGAAATTGTTACATTTGAGTAAAATACCCAAATGTAACAATTTATCCCCGTAATAATGGCGCTACGTCGCCATTTCATTTATAAAATTACTAATCGCTCAGCAAATATTCCCTTTTTAATAATACAAGTCAACGTAGCGCCATTATTAGGGGGATAAATTGTTACATTTGGGTATTTTACTCAAATGTAACAATTTTCCCCCGTGATAATTTGTTTACCCAAATGAAACAATTCGTGATTCGTAACCATTTGCCCATTTGGCTAATAAAATTACTGTACATGTGCGTATGAGGTGCGAGTCTCTGGGCGCAAGTTGTCAAAGACAGATCATTCTATACCGAAATTGCTTCCCTTTCCTCCCTTTTTCTTTAGTTTTTACATGCTGTCATTTAATTCGATCATTTTCTTAACAGATTAGTTTTGTTCAAGGTGATGGGAGAAGGTTGCACCTTTTCTGTTACAGTAAAACTGTTAATTTGTCGATATTGTGCACTTTGAAGCAAAAGGAACGAGCTAGGATTCTATCTATTTTATAATTAAAATATTGTTGTGGATAAACGATTCACTTAAAGTAATTACCTGTTGTTAAATTTAATATTAATTTAATATGAAAAACCTAAAATATACCTAAAAATAAAATACGATAATAGTTGTGTTTGTTTTTGATAATCGTATTACATTAGCGATATATAAGTTCTTTTGGGGAAAATTTCTGTGCTTTGGCTTTTTTGTATTGAAAATTTGGCAATTTAATATTGCACTCGTTGACATACTTCAAAAGTTGGGGCTTAACTCGAGCAACAACTTTTTTGTCAAACTTCGAGTTAAGCCCCGGGGCTTAACTCGAATAACGTGGTCTTGGCAAAACAGGGCGTGGTCGGGGCTTAACTCGAAAAGGGCTTAACTTGAGGGGCTTAACTCGAAGGGCTTAACTCGAAGATTCCCGACCTCTGCAGGATACGCTGTTACAGCGAGTTAGTTTTTGGTAACCTGAAGTTCAGGCCCTAAGGGGCGGACCATTTGACTTTTGAGGGG